GGAACATTTATTGTGGTATGTTAGTATCTAAAGGTTTTCAGATTTATGGAACATTTCTGTGGTATGTTGGTGTCTAAAGGTTTTCAGGTTTATGGAACATTTCTGTGGTATGTTGGTGTCTAAAGGTTTTCAACAATTGTGGAACCTTTCTTTAGTTTCAATTTTATAATGATACGTGAGAGTTGCCGTCAGCTTCAGCGTTTGTCTTTAAAAAGCGAAATCCTACAGGATCGTCTATTTCTTTATAACCTCTTTCATGATCAGTAAGTAGCCAATAGATAATCCTTTAAAAAGCTACCAACTACTAAAACTTCCCAAACTTTTCAAGAAAAATACTTTTCTCTCGGACCATCCAGGATGCCCTCCAGTAGCACAGCGGTATGTCTGCGGACTTACAACGCTAGAATCCGGGTTTCGATACCCGTGGTGGGCAGAGCACATATAGACCATTGTGTAGCTTTGTGCTTAACTTCAACAACAACAACCATCCAGGATTTTGAGTATTAAATATCAGGAGCGTGTAGGACAGGGGTGAGCATATGATTGGTCTAGCTTACATTGTTTGTACAGGGGTGAGCACATGGTTGGTCTAGTTTACATTGTTTGAACATCGAGATTACACAGTACTGAAAACTTATAAATGAATATTTATCAGAAAGGAAATAGTGAAAGTGTAACAAATTAAACGGATATCAGCCCCTCAATTTTCAAGTGTTTCAAAATTTAAATTAAAGCATGATCAATGAAGTGTTTTGTATTTCTACGTTTACCACTGTACTCAGTAAAGTGTTTTGTATTACTACTTTACTACACAGTACTCAGTGAAATGTTTTGTATTACTACTTTTACAACACTGTACTCAGTAAAGTGTTTTGTATTACTACTTTTACTACACTGTACTCCAGTAAAGTGTTTTGTATTACTACTTTTACTACACAGCACTCAGTGAAGTGTTTTGTATTACTACTTTTACAACACTGTACTCAGTAAAGTGTTTTGTATTACTACTTTTACTACACTGTACTCCAGTAAAGTGTTTTGTATTACTACTTTTACTACACTGTACTCCAGTAAAGTGTTTTGTATTACTACTTTTACTACACAGCACTCAGTGAAGTGTTTTGTATTACAACATTTACCACATTATA